GTCAAATCTCCATATGAGAACTAATCTGGTCAACACCTACATTGGAACCTAGTGAGAGCCTAACTAAGCAGAGCTAAGCTGTTCCAGACTCTTAAGGCACAAAACCTATGAAAACGATGTGTGTTGTTTTAAGCTGCAAAGTTTGTGATAGTTTGTTATATAGCAATAGAGAACTAAAATGCTATTCTCTAAGATTTAACTAAAGGACTGGTGGTGTAATAATGGTAATTAATTAATAACTCCTATATTTTCTGAGTTTTCAAATTAATAATTTTAAGTGATATTATATTTTTTACTTCTCTGCTATTTCGGGACAGTTTTGAGGCTACCATCACTTATGTTCTTGTATTGGAAAAAATTATCTTCTTCTATTAACATAGTGAGATGAATATACAACACTGGTTCCTCTCCTTTTTCAATACGTTTTCTAATTTTCCCTTTCTTATAGAAAACAGCCTGAAGCAGATTTGAAATGTCTGTGCTCCCAGTTACAAAGTAGTGCTGGTGACAAACTAGCTGACAGCTTATCACTGCAGATCCATAGTCATTAATGGAATGAATGTATATATTTTTTTGTTGTTAAAACTTTGAAATGTTTCTATCATTGTTACTATTGCCTAATATTTTGGAAAGCCAGGATGGTTGAGAAGAAAAATGAGTAAGTTTTTTAAAAATATATCAATGAAAGGAACATATTGGAAATTAATTGTTTTGCTTCTATATGGCTGATGAACTTCAATTTGAACTCAGTCTTTTCATTAATAACACCTATAAACTCCAGACAAAATATAAAAAACAAACAAACAAAAAACACTTGACATCCCCGGTGAGATAACCAAAGCAGGTATATTCTGATAGATACTTGAAAGAGACAATGTGGGTGAGTTTCTTGTTTTTCGGTAGTTAGCCAGAGGGAAGGCTCAATTTAGCACTTGAAGAGGGCAGTTAAACTCTGATAGAAAGCCTATAAAGTTTTTTTGGCCTGAAGTATCAGGGAATAAATTTTGGGACAACAGAAGCTGATGAAAAAGATAGATTCCAAAACAATTTGATATATTATATACCAGGAAATGTGATCCCTTTGAAGAGGAGAGAAAACCAAGGAAGACCAATGTTAGAAAAAACGAGAAAATATTTTAAAGCAGCTATTCATAAATAGGCCTGTATTAATGTTAAGTAGCTAGTCAGACATTAATGACAAGGGGAACAAAGGAATAGGGGCCCAGCCTAGAGATCATCCAAAGAACACTCTAATGGTAGTAGAATTTGGGATAAGCACATGTACACTGGGTAAAGAGTTATATAGCAGCCAAGCATCAATCAAAACGACCTCACTTGCCAAATACCTAGGAATGTCTTTGGAACCACACATCATGACCCAAATATAATGCAGACATTCCCACTTCTGGGGGCTTTTGTGTTCTTCGTTATTGTTGATTATTGTTACAGCTCTTCGCTAAAACCACATGTCCTTTTGAGGAGTGCTTTGTCTTTTGAAAATATACTTTAATAAATATTTTCTAAATCTCACTGACCTGTGATTCTTCAGTGTCAATGAAGAAGAACACAGGAAAAATGCTAACTACACTTCTGTACTGATATCTCCGCCCCCTATGCCATTGGGGTGACACTGGAGTTCAAACTGGCCCCATCGGTAACACTAAGAGATGTAAAAATAATATTCCCACTATAAGTGAAAAGATGGGAAATCTCGGCAAAAAAAATACAAACTATAAAAATGTGGAAAAATTAGATCTGAAATTAAAAAGGAAAAAAAAAGAGACCATCGGATAGATTTAACAACAGACCAGAGATGACATAAGACAGGGTAACCTTGAATACAGATCAATAGAAAATATACAGTTGCAGACAAGTGATTGAAATATATTGAAAATATCTGAACAGAGCCTGTACTTGTAGAACAATATTTAAATGCTTAACATATCTATAATTGGAGACTCAGAGAATGAAGAGTCTTTAACTGGTGAAAGGCAAATTCAGACTAAAGAAATTCACCAAAAAAGATAATTACAAAGAAAACTACACCTTGAAATGCCATAGTTAAGTTGTCAAACGCTCAAGATTAAAAGAAAATCTTGAAAACAGCCAGAGAAAAATGACACATTACATACTGGAAACCATGATTCAAATTTCCATTGACTTCTCTTATCAGAAACACTGGAGGCCAATGTTTAAAGTGATATGAAGAATTAATTGAAAGTACTTTGTATTACTGTAAGACAGAGGTGACTTTTGCAAATTTCTACAAAAATAAAGCAGATTCTGTAAATGAATAAAGCAACTGGGAGTATAAGTAGATATACATATATTGTCTGAGTAGTAGTAATTCATTCTTCACGGGAAAGCTGCATTTCATCTCCAGCTAATTGTCGTCTTATTGGAAATCAGTACCAATTTTCTCTTAAACTATTCCTTTAAGAGAAAAGAGAAACCAAGATTTGAATGTGAAATTTCATAATTTTTAGATATTGGCTAAAAAAATAGTTAAAATAATTTGTGGCCAAACAAAAATATCTGTGAGTTGAATGAAATCCAGGTCACTAATTTGTGATTTCTGTTAATGAATAATGTAGCATAAAATGCAAAAAACAAACAGATTTTTAAGTAGAACAGACTAATCTCTTTTGACCATTTACCATACAGTATGAGGTTAATTTGAAAGAAATTATAATTGTGGTTGCAAAAATCACACGGCCACCTTTTCAAGTTAAATATCTTTGTAGTACATATAATTTTTTTAAATTAAGAAATTAATAGGAGAATCTTATGTTTCTATGAATATAAGCAGGATCAGTAAAGCTTGAACAGTAGCAGAATATAAAAACCATCAGATATTTCTCTCTCATTGGTCATACAAGAGAAAAAAACTAGTATTGAGGTTTACACTAAGTTTCTATGATGGCTAAAGATGGATTCTCTCTGTAAGGATGTGGCTTGGTTAATGCTTTCTCCTCTAATATACTTAAGTGCTGTCTAGATGTCTTATCATTTTGCCTCATTGAATTAGAATCATGCCCAGAGAATGTCTTTATTTCAAATAGTGCTAGCTTGCTAAAGTATGTAGGGTTTTTTTGTTTTTGTTTTTTGTTTTGTTTTGTTTTTAATCATTGGAAACTGCATGTAGCTGATTGGCTTATCAAATCTGTAGGTAGTATAATGTATATATTGTATTTAATGCAAGCCCAGAAGTCTCTGACAGGAGAAAGCATTCAGAAGGAATTACTGTACCGCTAACAAGGAACTTCAGTCTCCCAAAACTTCAAAAAGATACCTTCCAATTAATACATTTTGTCTCACATTATATCTAAACATTAATTAGTTATGCTTTGTTTTTGATTTTTGTTTTTGTTTTAATGCAATGTAACAAGTATTTCCCTAAATATATCACCTGGACGTTCTATACTTGCTGGAAAGTTTCATTTTTACAGTTTGAGAAGTAAAGGGTAGGAAATGACCTTCATAAAATTTAAGCTAGGAACATGGCACAACGTACAATTAATTCTTCTAAAAATCTAAATAGTAAAGAAAATAAACAATTTAGAAATAGAATGTGCAGTCAGTTGCCTGTTTCTACTTTTAAGGAAAAAAAGTTTTTCTTGACCTTTTCTCTTCTGTTGCTTCTTTGATCTTTTCTGCTCCATTTCCTGTGTAATCCTTTATACTTATTATCCTTCTCTGACACATTCTTATTATTTCCCCATCTCTTTGTTCACTGCCTTTGCCATACTTTTTAGGGGAAAAAAACAAAAACAAAAACAATGCCCCCAACACTAATCTTCCCTTGAACCTGCTATGCCTTGAGGCTTTTTTCCCATTTTCCTTCTCCAAATTTTTTGAAAATTTTAACACAAGTGCCATGACTATTTTATGAGACGATAATAGAGGAAGAGTAGAGCCCATGCTACTCTGAAATGAGTCCTGACTCTACAGCTTAGAAGTGGCTTTGTAACACCAGGCAAATCACTTTACCTATCAGCTTGTTTTCTCTCTTATGCAGTAGAAATACTACTACTAACTGATTTGTGAGAATAAAATGAGAAAATGCAGTCACAATTCACTCAATTCTCACAATAAACTTGTGAGGTAGATCTTATTGTGGGTTGTTAGTCTCTGCAGGTATAATAGTTTTTGTTTGCTTAAAGCTTATATAAGAAATATATAATTTTAAAATGAAGACATAATGTCATCTTCACTACTTTTATATTCCTAACATTAAATATAAAGAGAAGCATTAATTTAGAAAACTCATTTAAGAAGTGATTTTAAAACTATGCTTTGGGGTGCCCATGACGTTCTGAGAAGCTCTTGGGAAAAAGAGAAAGGAAAGACAGCTGGCAGGAATTCCAGCTCTAGCTTCAAGAAAACAATTCTGATTTTATCTGTATTAAATATACTGTATCATCAGAAGAGATAATTTAACAGTCTTAAAAAACCTAAAGCTAGAGATTTTGTCCTCTTCTCTACCTTAGCTTTTACTGGTGAAGAAGTGGCAGTGCTGGTATTAATTTGCAAGTTCCATAAAGCATATGGTTATATTGGTTATATCATGTGCAAGGATTTACTTAGAATGCTTACAAGTCCACAAACATAAGAGAAATTTAGTAAAAATGACATTTTATACCTAAAATACATTTTAAAAATTTACCTACAAATCCCATCCAAAATTAGTTTTTAAAAGTACAGCACACAAACTGGACTTTGGGTGGTAAACACACAATAGAGATGTTGAATGATAATGTACACCTGAAAATTATATAATTGTATTAACCAATGTTACCTCAATAAACTTAATTAATTTTTTTTAAAGTACAGCATGAATATTTTTTAAAGTGCAATTTTGAGATAATTTTCAATTATACTATAATTACTAATGTGGTTCCAGGAGCTAAGTAATAGAATAATACAATAAATATCAGCTGAAGTAAATATTAATTATATTCCTCATAGCGAAGTCATATTGTAAGTAGGTATTTACATACCGGATCATCTGGATTATATTGAATAACATATTCTATCTGTCCATTTGGGCCATCATCTATGTCTGTAGCTCCATTGTCTCCTGAAAATCCTGTAAATATTGTGGTGCCAACTGGAGTGAGCTGAAAGGAAAATAAAAGAAAAACTGTCATTTCTCATTTCATCAGTGGCACACCAGAATTGTTGCAGCACAAAAAATGGCTCTTTATTACACAAAGGAAGAGAGTAGGCAGCTGCCGAGAACCACAGACCAGAAGTGATTAAAAAAAAAAAAAAAAATTGTCAACCTTACACAGTTCTATAAAATCTGAAATTTCCAACATCATGGTCCTTGTTTTGGGTTAAATAAATAGGAGGCCCTAATTCGGAATGAAGCACATTTGGATCAATTTATGACCATTAGCATTACAGCCCCTATGGAGAAAATGCATCTGTTGTTCCTCCTTAAAAAAACCTTGATGCATTAAGTTAGCTACAAGCTGGAATTTAAATTGAATGAGGAAGTGAGCTCTTTTATTTTAAAATCAAAAAGCATTTCAGAGATAACAGTGAAATTCAGGTTAGTAATTATATGTGGCAAGTTTGAGGAAGAGTTGAAGAAAATGGATGACCTGTCTGTCTGAGGAGAGAGAAAGCTGGGAGTTTCTTCAGTGCCTATACTATCAGTTGAGTAGAAAGACATCATGTGATGGGGTGTGGGGGGGTCATATATTTTCATTTGGATTAAAATAAAGACAACAAAACTTAATGTGGCATATAAGACCATGATCTGGTGTTCAGCTTTATTTATTATTGATCTCCACCAGAAAATCACTTCAATATTTTCTTACTTGTAGATCTTTGAAACTATTTGTATTCCTACATCCAGAGTCCCTCATCCTCATCCTTTAGCTAAAATCCTACTCATTATTTATATCTCAATTTAATTAGGTATCATCTTATCCTAAACCATTCATGAAACAGCATTTTCCTCCCCAACATCAGAATATGGTACTATTTTAGTTGTGCTTACATTTTACATCCTTAATTGCATTATTAAAATAAATAATTTTTTTTTTTGTCAATAAACTTAAGCTCTGTCTCCTTAGTGCAGAGACTTTTAAATTTCGTTCTGAAATATATTTTATTAGTTTTTAAATGAGATCCCTTCATGGAGAAATAGTTTCAGAAAGATAAAGAAGAATTGTCTCAATTACTTCTATTTTCAGCAGCTAAAACCCTAATGTCTCCAGGGATCCATCAAATGATGTAAATAAGTGAAACAAGCCTGATGGCAATGGTAGCAACTGGGGAGCACGCACCCTCTCTAAAGTGTTAGCTGCTACTCAGCCCCAGCAAATTCTTGCCATAATGGAATATGGAGGCAATGTTACTGGTCATTAAAATTCTAATTTTACAAGAAATCTCTTGGTTCTAAGGTAGGCAACAGATTTTACAGAATTGAACTATGAATTTAATGGGCCAAACAAAATACAT